AAAAATTATATATATTTTTTAAAGATAATTTTATTATTATTAGAATAATAAACAAATATTTATTTTATATTAATATATTTTCTATTATTTAGGTATTTAATAAATTTTCTTTATTTTTATGAGAATAATTATAACAATAATGATGTATATTTTCTTATTTTTACTGCTTGAAAATTTTTTTTTATAATAATTTTTTTATATCTAACATTAATTATTATTATATTTACTATTTACTATATACTCTTAATATATATTTCTTACTTTTATTTTTAAATAATCAACTTTTGATAATTATTTTTTATATTAATATATTTTATTTAAAAATATTTTTTTTATTTTTTGAAAATAATTAGAATAATTTTTTTATTTTTACTGCTTAATTAATTCTTTTTTTATTATAATACATAAAATTTTAGATTTAAATATAATTAGTATATTTTATATTATTTTTATGCTTAATAAGATCTTTTTTTATTAAAAAAATACTTTTAATATATTATTTTTAAATTTCTTACTATTAATCAATATTATAATTATTATTATAATATACTTTATTATTTACAAATTATAATTTTTAAATATTAATATTAATATTTTATTATTATTAATTATTTTATAATTATAATAATTAATTTTATTATTTCTTACTGCTTATTAAATAATTTTTTAAATTTTTAAAAAATAATAATAACAAACTATTATATATTTTTATTCATTATTTTTTTAGAAAGTAATGATTATAATAATAGTGAATTTCATTTTCTATAAAACAATAACAATTTTATTATATTAGTATATTTTATATTATTTTTAAAAAAAATTTTAATACTTTTTTTACTATAAATTTATTAGCGATAATTATTATTATAATAATTTTTTAATTATAAATTTTATATATTTTATATATTTTATATAATAATAATTAACATTATGAAATCTTATTATAATTTTATATTTAAATATATTTTTTATTATAAATAATTATAATGCTGGTAATATTAATATTAATATGTAATTCTATATTTTTGTAAAGTAAACCTTTTATTAATATTATTAATGAAATTTTTTATAGTAAATACAAGATTTTTAATGCTTTTTTTATCCATAATTTACTTTTTATTAATTTTTTACGAGCAAAATTTTTAGTATTATTTTTATAATATATAGAAATAAAGAATAATTAACGTAAAAAAAATGTTTAAACAATAATAATATCATATTTATTATAAAAATAAAATACAAAAATATTTATAAAGAATAATATATTTTAAAAAAATTATAAAAAAGAATAGGAAAGAAAAATTTTTTTAGTAATTACGATATTTACAATAACTTTTCTATTTATTATTTACTTTTTATTATATTTATAATATTTTTTTATTATATTTTAACAAGCAATTCTTCTAAAAAACTTTTTATTATGATTATTATTAAATAGTTTTTATAGTAATACTTTTTTTATAACTTTTCAATTCATAATTTACTTTTTTATTATATATAAATATATTTTATTATTTATTTACGAGCGAATGAAGTTGTGTATGAAATATATTATCGCTTATTTATTTTTTTTATAGCTTTTAAGTATATTGAAAAACTTTTTAATTTTTTTTCATACGGATAACGAATGCTTTTCTATGTAAAAGTTTTCAGTAACTTCTCTAATAAAAATAATAAAAGAACTTTTTTCCACTAAAAAGTTTGAGGTTTTACCGAAAGGCCAGCGCTTCAGTCATGCGGATCCTCAAGCATTTTTGTCCAATTATGGAACGCGCTAGCATCGATGAGGCCTTTTTGGATTTAACAGACCATGTGTTCTCTTCTATCTTGATTGGCTGTTTTTTACTGTTTCTACTGGCCCATGAATTCATATATTATTATTTTTATTGTTTGCTTTTTTTGGAAACTTAAAATATTTTTTTAGTAAAGTGCGGACGGCAAAGTTGGACGAAAGTTACGTTTGTTGCTGGGAAGGTTTTATATTTTAATGAATAATAATAATTAATTAATTAGTTATAATAAATAATAAGAATTATAATAATAAATGAATATAATATATAAATTATATTAAATAATACTAATAAAATAAATAAAATGAATAACTAATAAGAAATATATAAGTATATAAATAATAATAAATAAATAATAATCTGCATTTTTGCTAATTTTATCATCCAATCCGCTTTCAGATATTAATCCATATCACTGTATTTGGTAACCTATCCTTTATTAGTTTATATGCGGTTGATTATGTATCGCTCCAGACATGAAATATTAATTCAATCAGAAAGATCCCTTACCGTATTTTTGCTTAGGATTGGGCATCTTTATATCAGACCACGTGGCCGCTGGCGATGCTTTAGTGAAAGAGCGGTGCCTTCATGCTGCTGCCTTATTGGCTAAAGTTTATAATTTTATATTTCTGATCACGTTTAAATATTATTATCCAATAGGAAGCAAGAGATGCGATTTTTAATGAACTAAAGTATACTTGCTCAGCAGGGATTGGCCACAGCAAATTATTGGCAAAACTCGGTTATTTATTTTATTATATTGATAATAGCAGAAAAGTAACCTTTTATAGAGTAAATAATAAAATAATGTTTATATTGTTTTCAGCTTATTGAAACAAAAAAGTTAAAGTAATAAAAAATTAATTTCATATAATTATGCTTTAAAAATTGTAAGAAATAATAAAAATGTATAAATAATATAAAAAGTAGTAAAACTTGAAAAATATTGTGCAAAAAAGTATTAATATATTCGCTTAGTTTTTATTTATTCTACTTATTACTATTTTTTTCTTATAAATATTATGTACTGCTTATCATTATATTTCATTATTCTCATAATTTATATATTTAATTATTTATTTTACTTATTATTGTTGTTGTTTACTAATTTTTATTATATATTTATCATTATTTGGTTTACTTATTATTATTTTTTTATATTTCATTTATTTTCATTATTATTTACTGTTTATTTTTATATTATTACTATTATATTTTATATTATTCTTATAATTATTGTATTCTATTTATTATAATTTTATTATCTTTTATTTTATTTATTTATTTATATTTCATTCTTCTTATCATTATTATGTATATCATTATATTATTATTATTTATTTTTCATTCTTATAAATTATTTACTCCTTATTATATTTTTAAATTTTATTATTTTACTTATTATTATTGTTAACTTATTTTAAATATACTTTTTTATTATTGAGTTTACTTACTATTATTTTTTATAACAGCTTTATAGTAAATGCTGGATTTTTTTATTATTTACTTTTCATTATATTATTTTCTTATGAATAATTATTATTGTTATTTATTTTTCATTATATTTTTATTTTTACTCATTAAATATTTTATATCCCTTTTTTTTATTTTACTTTTCATAATTTTTTATATGTATATTTTATTTTTAATTAATATTTAAATATTATTTTCTATTATTATATATTTACTTTTTATTATTCTTTTCTTCTTTTTATTTATACCTTCATGTTTTACTTTTTGTATTTAAAAAATTAGTCATTATTATTTTTTTCGTTGTTTACTTTATTACTAGTATATGTAACAACTTTTATAAAGAAGTACTACACGTGCTTTAACGCACGTATTGCCCTCGCATTACCCTCCATACTTCATTTTCAGCAAAATGACGTGTTGTCCACCCGCTTTTGCTCTTCAATATTTTTTATAAATTTTTTTTTACTTCTTTATTTCTTTTATTATTATATATAAACCTTTTTGTTCCATATAATTTTTTAATTATTATTATTAAAATAAAATGTTAATGAAAAATATTTATTTAATAGTTTTAACAAGTTTATATATACATATATTGATATAATTGTTATTATTATTATTATTAAATATACATTTTTTATATATTATTATTATACTGTTATTATTATAATAATTTAGAATGTTTATATGGATATTTTTTATTTAATAGTTTATATAAGTTTATATTATTTTTATGTTTTGTATTCGTGATTATCATTGTTATATTCAAACTTTTTTGTTTGTTTTTTAGTATTTTCTTTTGTTTATATTATTTCAATTTTTTTATATATAATTATTATTAATTTTATATTTAAAACTTTTTTGTTTCAAAGTATTTTATTATTATAAAAAAAAAGTTTTTATAAAAATTTATATCCCTTTTATTTTTTATAGAATTATTATTATTAAATTTTTTATTAACTTTTATTATAAAAATAAAAAGTTTATATAAAGTTTACATTCTTTTTATATTATTATTTTTATTTTCAACCTTTTTTTTTGTATTATTTTTTCTTATTATTATCTTCTTCTTAGTCAGGAGTATTTGGTCCAATTTTAAAACTGCGGATACCAGATTAAGGAACGTGCGCATCCACCATTAGCTTTCCTTATTGGCCCTCAGTGTGTGCGTGTGCGCCGCTGTTCCATGTTTATTGAACCCCCCACTTTTCTATATCTTCTATTGACATATCAAGTTTAGTTTTTACCACGTGTGAGGTCGACTACACAACAGGTTAGTTTTGGGTGTGCACTTGCCTTCATCTAGTACTGGCAGTTTTTTAAATTGCGTCCGATACTCAGCATTGATTGCATTTGATAATAAAAGTTACACTTTATTTTTTTTAATATTTTCATTAAAATTATAATAATTTTTTTTACATTTTATACTTTCTTTATTACTGCATAAATGAAATGTTGTGTTTCATATTTTTTTACTTTTTATATTATAAATTTTTTTTTTATAATTTTTTTATATTATTAAAAATAACATTTTTTAAAATAAGTTAGTAGATTAAATTTTTTTATACTATTTTAATTTACTTTATGCTTTTTTGTTTTTAAAAAAACTTTTTATATAAAAACTTGATATTATTTTTTAATAACTTGAACAGGTAATAATAATTTTAATCATAATAATAATAAATAACGAAAGGTTCCTCTGCTAATAAACCGAACAAACAGACCATCATTAGTGAATCGGGGGTTTCCACTTTTTTAAAGGATATTCCTCTCCAAAAAGTTCCGTTGTTGGGTTCTTGCTTATATTTACTTTTTATTTTTTAATTATTATTATTCACATGACTATATTATATTATATAAAAATAATTTATTATTATTGTTTTTATATATTTTTGTATATTTATTATTATTTTATATAGGCTCTCTTTTGTTTATATATGGTTCTTTATTATTTTGGTTTACTTTTATATATTTTTTATTGTTTATCAAACTTTAGTATAAATAATAACATTTTGTTTAATATTACTATACACTTTTATATAACCTATTATTATTGATATACCTTTTATATATTATATATTAAAGCATTTAGTTTATTATTAAAAATATATAATGAAACTTTTTTATTTATGTATAAAACTTTAATTATGGTTTACTTTTATACATTTTTTAATTTATATAACTTTTTTACTTTTTTTTTTATAATATTTAATTTGTTATAGTATACTCTCATACAATTTATTATTATTTTATAATTTTACTGTTTTGATTTACTTTTATATTCTTTACTGTATAATAAACTTTTTATTTATATATAAAAATGTATTATTATTTTGGTTTACTTTTATTTATTTTATTGAAAACTTATTATTTATAAATAAAAATATATTGTTATTGTGGTTTACTTCACTTTTTAGGAGGAAAAAACGGTGCTTTAGTCAATGAGAAGCTCCACGTGAAGACTCTTGGTGAATTATGGAACTTTTCATTGGAAGATTTGTGTAAAGTGCTTGATAGCGAATTTTCTAGGTGGCTCTTTCGGTATTCAAGAGGTGCTTGTCAATTTTTTATTTGTTTCTTTTCTATTCTTTATGGGCGAGGGTAAATAATTTGTAATATTATAATGAATTAAGAAATATTTCTACATTGTTGAGTGGTTTATTTAGGTTTGCTTATGTTCATGGTGACCTTTTTACTTTTTAACTGACTTGTTCATTTTTTATTTTTGCTTGGTTCATTTAAATTTGCTAATGGTCATGAGGGACTTTTAAAATTTTAATTGGATTGTTTTAACTAAAATGGTCCCTTTTTATGCTGATTGGTTCCTATAAATTAGCTTATTTTTTATTGGTGTACTTTTTGTTTTCATTGACTTGTTTTAATTAGAATTAGAATTTGTAATATATTTTAGATTCGATTTCGTTTTTCTCATTTTCTTTTTTTCATTAGCTCACGCTTTTCTTATTTCAGCCTCACTATCATACAACTTTTTTGCTTCGTTTTCGATGGCTTGTTTTAAATTATATATAATGGAATGTTTAATTTCTTATTATTATTGGATATAGCGATATTTGACGGCTTGTTCCATATTTTATCTATTTAAATAGAGATTCACTGTTTTCATTTATTTCTTTATTTTATTGGTACCTTTTTTAAAATATTTTCTTATTTCTGTTGTTAATATTATTGTTATCGTTATGAAGGAATCGATTCGCGAATTGTTTCTTCGAGAGAAAAGCTGGGAAGCATGGGCTCTACCAAAACTTTTTCGTTAACCTATGATTACCAGGAAATCTTGTATACCTTTGCTGTGTTTATTGTTAGTGGCTGTGATTTTTGTTAATGTACAAAAATTGGCTGTCATGCTTACCAAATACTTAACATTACGTTGTTTTTGGTAAAACTTTTATTTTACATTAATAAAGGGGCTCGATGTTGGGCGTATTTTTTTTTTTCATTATAATTTGCCAATTATTTCTTTGGTTACTTTTTTAATTTTTATTTGTTTGTTATAAATTTTCTCTTAATTCCAGCCTTTTTTCTTTTATCTTCATGAACTACGAAACTTTTTTATATTGTTTTCTTTACATTGGCGGATTTTTACAGTCAATCACTATTAACTTCTTATAAACTTAGAAAATGGGTGGATATTTTGTGTCACGAGTTAATAGAAAGACTAGAAGAAGGTTACTATTATTATTTCCATTACTCTTTTTCTATTTATAAAAAATAGAACTATAAATATTATTTTTCTTTATATTTAATTCTACTTTTAATTATTTTTATTTACAATAAATAATTTAGTATTATTGAATCATTGAATTCCATAATTTATAATATACTTTTAAAATTTTAATTGTATATTTTTAATCAAATATATTTTATTATTATTTTCCTTTTTGTTTATTTATACTTTTATATTTAATTTCTTTAAGTTTTATTATTATTTTTTATATTCATACAATTATTTATTATACTTATTATTATTTTATTTAATTTTTCTTAATAAATTTTATATAAAAAAATATATTTGTTATTATTAATTATTTAAACTATTACTTTTATATATTTTTTTAACTTTTTTTATTTTTTATAATAAATATTATTATAGTTTTGTTTTATAATTCTATTCTGCTTCCTTTTTTATCAAATAAGATTATTTATTTATTATATTTAATCAAGTTTATAAAAAAAAATAAAAAATGATTTAAAAAAATTATACATTAATTTTTCTAATATTTATATTGATTACTTTTTTATATATAATAATAATATTTATTATTATACGGTTACTATTTCTATAATATTATTTTATTATAAATTTTATATATTATTTTTATTAGTTATTATTATTATTATTATATTTACATTTATAAAATCATTCTTTAAGTATTATTATTACATATTTTTATTCTATTATTATTTTTTTAAGTTTTACTTTATCACGTTTCTATTATTATTATTATTATTATTATTTTAACTATTACTTCTACTTTTCTTTTCATTATATTTTTATAATAATAATTTTTTTTACTATACTTTATTATTATTTTTATCATGTTTGTATATTTCTATAATTACTATATATTTTTTTAAATATTATTATTTATTATTTTTTATATTTATTTAAGTTATTATTTTCATTTTTTACTATTATTACTTATTTTTTTCATTAAGTAGTAATTTTATTCCCTTGAAATGTTTATAGATTTTTTATTATATTATATTTTTATTACTTTGACTTTTCTTTATTATCACCTTATAAGTTTTTTTATTATTTTTTATTAAATTGTTATATTTATACTATTTACATTATATTTTTTTTATTATATTTTTATATCACTATTATCGTTATTATTAATATACTAACGTTCTTATTATGACCTTTATTAGATTTATACAATATTATTATTACGTTAACTTTTCTTGTTTATTTTTATTTTATAATTTAATATTTTTATTATATTTTTATATCAACATTTTTATTACTAATTATTATATAAAAAATATATATTTTTCTTTATTATTATTATTAATATTAATTTTTCCTGTTTACTTTTATTTAAATTTTCATTTATATTTATTATTTATATTTTATGATTTTTTATTATTTTATTTTATATTATCTTTTTGTTATTACTATTATATATATAAAGATTATGAAGAAAATAAGAGATATGCAAAAACTCTAAGCGTGCATTACACGCGTGTTCGGTTTCCTTTTTATTCATTGGCCCATTATTTATTATCCCTTCATCCTATTGGCCGGCATTTCTCTATATCCTTTTTCATTCGCCTACTTTAGCAATAAAATAATTGAACGGAAGTCTAAGTCCAGCGCAATGCCCTCTTGCAATTGTAACGGACGTAGTAGTGTTTTGTTATTAGCTGTCCAGAAGTTATTGAGCGAAGAAGAAATTCTTCCTTGTAAGCTTATTATTATTATTATCAATTAAAATATTTTACTAAATAAGAAAAAAAGTTTATCATTTATATATAATTATAATTATATAAAAATATATTATTGTTAAATATATACAAAATGAAAAATTTTATAGTTATTTTTATTATTATGAAAATATATATTTATTTATAAGTAAAAAGAAAAAGTTTATTATTACTATTATTAATACAAATAAAAAGTTTATTATAATTAATTTTATAAAAAAATATTCACATAAATACAATAGAAAGAAAAAAAAATCTTTTTATTATTGTTATAGAAAAAATATATAAAGAGGAGAATAAAACTTATAATTATTATTGTTAGTACTTAAATATAAGTAGGAAAAAAGGAAGTTTATTAATTTTATCATCAAACAAATTAAAAAAAAAGTTCTCTAATAACATTAGCATTATCGTTATAGAGAAATATAAGTATCCTAGTAGAAATAAAAGTAATAGTAATTATAATATAATATCTCAATATTAATACAATACAAGTTTAAGTAAAAGAAAAAAAAGATTTTATTATTATTATTGTTATTATAAAAGATTTTTATATAAGAAAGATAATATTTATTATTAATATCGTTAAAATATAAAAATGGTTAAATTTATTAATACTATTATTTGTTACCAATTTAAGGCGTGTCCGTTTCTGTTGTGGCTGAAAACTTCCGCGATGAAAAAAGCTCCAATGTTTCTCTCGAAAAGTTTTTTAACGAAGAAAAATTGGAATTTTCTAACAATCTTTTAACACACCTCCCCAAAAAAGATCTTTCATCTTCCCTTAAAACAATTAAATTTTTTTTTCCTCAAAATAATAATAATATTGGTAGTAGTAATAATAATAGCAATAATCAACCAACTAAACGAAAAAAAAGTTTTAAAAAAAAATTGTTGGGATCACAAAAAAACAGGAAAAATAGTGAAAAGTCCGACCGCATGTTTCAATCTGTTTTTTCTTTAGAAAAGGGTTGATTAAATTTTTTATTAAACAGTTCTATACCTCTGTTTTTTTTTTTCATATTAATAAATATTAATCAAATTTAAAACGTTTTTGAGTAGATATGGTTAAGCATTAAAAGGCCTGCTTTAAACTTTTTCCTAATCGCTCATCGCCAATATGAATTTTTTAAACTAATAAAGTACAATGAATATGGAATAGAAATAAAATAACAATTAATTATACTATTAAAAATTTTAATTTTATAAAGCGCTTAATTTCCTGAAAAACTAAAAGATTTTGGAATTTTGAGTACTTAATTTAAATAAATGCACATCTAATTTTATGTGATATTAATAAATATCAGTTTCTATAGAAAAAAGCTTTTTACTTTCTTTGAGAAACTTAAGGATTTTGGAATTTAAAGTAAAATAAATTTAGAGTGCACATAATTTTTTTATAAAAAAAAGAAAAATTACCTAATAAAAATATGATGTTAATAATTATATGTTTGTTCAGAAATGCACTTTTATTTTAGAATGTAAAGATTTCGCGAATTTAAAGTAGATTAAAATATAAAAAGCGCTCAATTTTTTATTTGGATAAAGTTAAAAAGTAAAATTATGATGTTAACAATTATAAGTCTTCATAGAAAAGCGTTAAATCTTTTTAGAAATATTGGGCGTTCTTAAAGTTATTAAATTTAAAGAGCGCATATCTAAAATTTTAATAGTAATTTATTAAGAAAAAATTTAGTAGTTTTTCAGTATTAATTAGTTTAATAGTGCCTTTCATATTTCTGCTGCTTAAGAAGATTAAAACTTTTAATTTAGTTAAGCAAAGAAATTATTTAAATTTTTTTACTTTTTAGAATTAAATTTTTCAAATAATTTCAATTATTCTGGTTTGATTTTTTTTTACCTCTAGTTTTGTAATATTTATCCAAACGTTATATATTTTTATATATTTATGTAAAATCTATATTTTATTTTTAAATTAAATTTTAATAAAATAACTTTCACCTGTAAATGTATTACCAGAAATTACATTTCAATAAAGGTTAAAAAGTTTTACTTTATAAGAGAGTAGAAGCATATAAAAAACGTTCGTTGTTAATTCACTATAACAACGCGAAGATGAATTGAATGGGAAAAAAAGGTACAATAGCCAGGTTATATATTAATGCGTAGAGCCAGTTAAACAATTTTTTAGTGTTTTTTTAAGAAAATATTTTTTTTTTAAAAGTTTCTTTAAACGTAAATCGAATGTTAATACACAATTTAGGTAAATAAGGGCGGTTTATCGATTATATATTAAACGTTTTTCTTGGTAAAAAAAAAGTGGTTATAACACAAAACCAATAAATAACAATAATAGCAATCTTAATAGTAAACATAATGATATTTCTAGTATTAAAATTAATAGTAATAATATTAAGGAAATACTATTGAAAGCCGTAGTAGTAAGAACGATATACACTAAAGATGCCCTACATTCACTTCCAGTATGGCAAGCATTTACCCAACCCGATTTGGAAAAAATGGGAACCGACTCCCTCTCCGAAAAAACTCCTGTACCAGTGCAACTCAGAAGAATGACGTAGGCGTGGAATAAAAATTCCCCCTAACATTCAAGGCGCGAAGATTTTTCTCGATCGCAATCCTCTTGACGTCATCCACTTATTGCCTTCAACTGCCGAGAAATATCGTTAAACTATCTTCTGCGACCTGTACCTTAAGGCAACCCCTTAAAATCTTTCTCCAAGTTTTATACGTTGATCTACCTTTAGCAGACATCAAAATGGCACTATATGCTGAAGGATTTTTACCCCACTGTCACTAGTTCTTGTACACCCGTCGGAGAAGGAAGGGACGTTAACCTACGCATTGAAATCATTGTCACTTGCAAGTAAGCGTTGAACCGCTGCATGAGAGTGACCGCATAGGGCAGAGCCTCAGCTGTAACGTTTTAGTCATAATCCAAAAAATAGTATCATCAATCCCAGCTGAGTCGGCTGTGGGGAAGACCATCTAAAGGTTCATAGTGAGAAGCTTTAAGAGTTGCCCTCTTTATGCGCAACTTAACAAAGCCAACACTGCGCATTGCCGAGGGTTTTTAAAGGATCCTCGAAAAAATTGCTTGCGCCACACCAACACGTTCTCATACATCACGCTCTGCTCAACAGCAACGATCTACTACTCCAAAACAATTAGGCGAGACACTCTCTTGAAACATTTCTTCGAGTGATAAGCAATCTGATGACCACAAATGATTTTTAAGGTCGCCCATAGCGCCATCTGCCTTTTCTTGCAGTGGAATATGGGAGCACCGTATTAACATATATACTATTAGCTAACAATACTCTTAGCATTAAAGCAAAGAGCACCTTAAAGAACGAATTTCTACAACTGTAGCGGAGTAAAGACGTAGATATCGCATTGTTAAGTTAGACGCACCCTGAAAGCGGGCAACAGGCTGGTTTTCTGGAATTAAACATCTTACCGCCTGAACGATGTGACAGATGGACGATGAAGGCGTAGCTATAATGGTGCGACGTAATTTGCCAGCTCGCCCGTTCGCACTTCCTAACCTAAAGAGCGTGGAAGCCGTCACAACTTTGCTGATACGAGGCTAATCGAAGTAAAATCATTCTACAGATCCCTCGCAAGGTTACATAAATGACCTGGACAAATTGCTTCGAGGTAGCTTGCCTTTTATTCTCAGTAGTGACTTCAACTGCAAACCCGCTGCTTGGAGTAGTCGTATTGAAAACCCATACGGGAAAGTAATTAAAAAGTAGGCGGGCCAACACCAATTTCGCGTTCTGGCACCTTAACATCCGGCACACATGGCAAAAACGGGAACTTTAGACGCGTCCTCGACCTGGCCGTTGTTAAAGACATCCACCTGTCGGCATGTCTGCTTGTCTTATCAAAGTTAGGTAAAGGCAAAACTCCTGCAAAACTCTGGATACCGTCACTCACGGGCTGGTCAAAAAAATTTTACAGCTGTGGTTGACGCATTGCTAGTCCCCAATCATCTACCCACTACTGTTTCCTACCTATTAGAAGCCGCGGTTAATATTTTTAAAGGCGCGTATTGTCTGCCCATGTTACCGCGAAAACCAGTCACAAACTTGCGTATCACCCTAGCCGTCCACCGGTTTATAAGAAACCTTATCCGTCAACGCCACCGCTTAGTACACCTGGCCTTTGTTGCACAAATCCCAACGATAAACTAACGCTAAACCGCCTCCACAGACACATTAGAAAGAGCTGACTGATGGCTGAAAGCGACGAAGATAAGGCGGCGCACTCGCCGGACATCTAGAAGTTCAGTGTGTTTCTCCAACTCGGGCTACCTTAAAGCTCTTATGGTTCCACCCAACACGGTGATAACAGCCTCCGTTGTAATGCAACCCAAGGCTCCGCGTTCTTTACCAGGCCTAGCTAAGTTTTGTTTCATTAGCCTATTTCGGCCCTGGGTATAATGTGGAGCCTGTTTTATTACGCCGAATGGACTGTTTGTATAAACATACAAAGTGCTTTCTGAATATCACTTCGGATTTCGAAAGGGCCACTTGACGACACAGCAAATTCCTGCCTTGTTGAGTGGACGGCTCGAAATTTCAACTTAAAGTAATTTACGAGCAGAGTCTTTCTTAATCTTGAAAAAGCCTTTTAACGCGTATGACCGACGTCTTTCTAACTTATCATTGAACACTAAGGAACAAATACAAGGCATATTACTAATGATAGCATACGCTCTAAGACACAGGTAAGATAGAACCTGCTAAATAGTCAAGGTCATCCCCAGGTTTTTTGGTAATTCTAAAAGCATACTTCCGATAATGCTTAACGTCGCTTATAACTCTCCTAAGTAACGTGCAATACTGTGCCACCGTCATTAGCTCTCTACGAGGTACTAGCGTGTTTCTCTGCGGTCACGCTTTCGAGTGATAGTGGGGACCACACTGTCCCATATCGTAGACGGATAGCTGGTGTTCCCGCAGGGATCTCACTCCTGCTCCCACTTCCATTCAATACCCACACTCGCATCACAATCTAGGCCGATGAGACGGTCGTTGCGTCTTCTAAGAGCACCTCATTATCACGGCAACACCTACAACGTTATCGAAAACATTTGCCAACTGGTGACGGCAGTAGGGAGTAACCATTTATTAAAAGGAAAGAGAGCAATTCTCACCACAAGAAGATGCACACACCACCCCGCCTCGGGCCAATTACTTGAGCGTTATAATCGATAAGCGGTTAACTTGCTGGCAATACGTTGAATTTGTTGTGGCTAAGATTATAGCTGTAATCTACGCGCTTTATCCGCTGTTGTTCGCGAAGAGAGCAATGTCCCTGCGTGATGAACTCTGTCTTATAACGTATGCCTGCGCCCTATAATGATCTACGCATCTGCTGCTTTGACTTATGAAAAAACGTAGACTGTTGCGCTCCTGTAGCACAACAAAACAAGCTTCTGCGGTCAATGACCGGCGCAACTTACTTCGTGCATAATGACTCGTTTGGTTGGAACCACTTGTTCTATTTTAGTAATGCGACTACAGTCTCTTTTAAACGTGGTTGTAAGTTTCCTAACCGCCGGTGGACTTTAAGGACTTACATTCGAACCCTAGAATGGTGCACGCTTTTGACAGCCCTGTATTGCACTATAAACGCACACTTATAGTTTGTATACCTCTCCACACATACTTATGTATATAATGTTGATATATCCAGCGGAGACTGAATATGAGCTTCGCCAAATATTTAAAATTATAAATAAAACTAAAAAGTCAGTGCCCTCGATTTCATCGAGCATCTTATTAAATCATTAATAATAGTAATAATAAAATGCCATAAAATTAAGTGAGAAATGGAAGATTAGTTGGGCTATGATTGGAATGTATTTTGACTGCGATGACTCCAGATTGCGAGCTCGATTTTTTAAGTTGTTGAGTCGATGGAGTATTAGGAAAAGTAGTTTATAAATAAATTAAATTAATGTTTACGAAACACTTCAAACATTTAAGAATACCGTCAACATACAAAAAAATAAAACAACAAAAGCCACTAGAATAGAGTCGTGAGACCCGTAACCTTTAGTTAACTTAGTGAAGATAATACGCTTATGGAGCACCCGTAAATGTTAATATTTAAATAAAATGTTTTACTAAGGTAGCCTTTTAGATTTGGCTAGAACCCAGGTAATCATATTTACAGTTCTATAAACAATATATTTGTATGTCGAGTCCTTTGTCTTTTTATTATAGTCTTTAGATTTAGCTACTATTTTGAAACTAAAGTAATACACCAGGGCTTAAAAATAGGTATACTACTATACTCATATTAATAAAAAGTAAAAAAAATAAACAAAAATGTAAATACTTTAATTGTAAATTCCATTTTCCACCTCGCTATAAAACATTGTTTAAATAGACAACAATTAAGATAATAATCGAACTGTAAATTTAAAAGAAATTGAGGGTTTCCTGGTGTAACAAGTTTTTTCGCAAGTAGTTGTATTTTCTCCTGTATAGCTTTTTGTTTTATGTTTGTTTATCCTTGAAAAAAGAAATGGAGGATTTGGAAACAATCGCTATGAAGGCAGTGTCTATTGCAATGTTGAATGGAGTACTTATGTGTACTGGGCAAGTAATTTCTTTATTTGATAAAAAAAAAAATTAAATATTTTTTTCAAATTCCGCCAACTTGCTTTTCAACTATATTAACCTTTTGTTAAAAAAAACAGTATATATATCGAGATTACTTAAGCTCATTAAAATATTATCTAAGAAGCAGAGACGAAGGTATTGTTCACTGTCCTTTTACTTTAACTCCTTCACCTTTTCCCAAAGCTGAATTTGAAAGAGCTTATGCTTTACAAGAAACAGGTCTTAATTTCCTTGTTATTAATATTTAAAAAAAAAATTATTATTTATTTTTGTAGTTCATCTTTTGCAACATCTTGCTGCTTTTGATAAAAACTTTTTGAAAGAATCTCTACGCGAAACTGCGATAGTAGATTCTTCTATTGAAAAGTTGCTCTCTATTCTTAATGAGTCTAATTTGAACAAGGTACTTGCTTTTTAAAAGTACTTTTAAATAATTATAAAGTAATTTATAAAGTCTCTACTTATTTTATTATAGCAAATTTTAAAATGCCATACAACTTTTTAAATTTAAAATAAAAATTGAACGTTAAGTGAATAAGTTAATATTAACTTTAACACAACTTTTAAAGTTTTTATTATAAAAAACTAAAATATACTTATTTTATTGTCAAAATTTTGTAGCGTAGGTTATATTTTTAATTTTAATATACAAAATATGTATACTAAAGTTTGTTTAGTATTTATTTTCTCTTAAACCTATACATTTGAATTAAATTTTAAAATTACGCTAAAAAGATTAATGTCTACGTTACAAGCCCGTTCTGGGTATCTTTCGTGCAGATTATATGCTAAACGAAGCTGGGAAAATAAAACAAGTTGAAGTAAATACAATTGCTTCTTCCTTTGCCTCGTTGTCTACAAAAGTTACTTCTCTTCATAAGTATAATTATTTTAATAAACTATGCATATTTTAGTTTACGAAATTATTTTATTTTGTAATTTTCTTTTGCGCCATATTTAGATTCGTATGCACTCGCTTTTTTAAAGACATAAATTCCCAACAAATTCCTGAAAATGGCGCGCTTTCCGGACTTGTTAATTCCTTAGCGTTTGCTCATAAATATTATAAACAAAACTGCTCTACGCAACGGCATTAACTTTTATATTATTGTTTATACTTTTTTAATCTTTTAAACTCTTTTATAAGTTTTTTTATACTTTTAAAAATATGAAGTAATTCTTTTTTTTTTTACAAAGAAAATCTGACTGCGCGGTTGCTGTGGCGATGATTATATTGCCTAATGAAAAAAACCTAATTGATCAAAATTTTATTGAATACTTTTTATTGGTCGATCATGGCATTCCAATGCTGCGAATCAGTTTGTCCGATATAAATTCAAAAGCAAAACTAGAAGACAACTTTTTATTCATGTACTTCAATTATATAAACTAAAACTTTTTTAAAGCATACTTTTCAACATTTACCATAAAATTTGTAAAGTAATTTTTTATTTCCTTTTTTTTTGTTTACAGCAATGATTATGAAATTTCTGTGGCTTACTTTCGTTCCGGCTACAATCCTGAACACTACCCTACCGAACTTGTAATATTTTATTATTATAATATAAATATAACAAAATAATAAAATAGTTATGATAAATAAAATGTATTAATAAAACTATATAGTAAAAGGTACTTATCTTTGATAGAATAACAAGTAATGGTAGAATATTATTATTATCATTATTGCTTAACAGGAGTGGAACGCACGTAGAATTATAGAGAAGTCTCAAGCAATTTCCTGTCCCTCCGTATATATTTTATATAAATATAATACTCTTTAATAATAATAAAAAAAAGAATCAGTTGTATATATAAAAGTATAAATAATATTATATAAAATATACATAAAATTAGTTTTTTATAAAGATATATTAGACATTATAAAAGTTAAAACCCTGTAAAAATTATGATAATAATCAATAATGTTTTTTTTATTGAAGCGTTATGATAATTAAATTGTCCAATGAAATAACATAATTTTTTAAGGTAGCCTATCAACTTTCGGGAACCAAGAAAGTTCAGCAGATGTTGTCTTCTAGAGAAACTTTATCAAAGTTAATATTTTTATTACCAAAAAGTTTATTGTATAAAAGTTTGTTTTACTTTATTATTTAAACCACTTAATAGTAATTTTTTTGTTTATAATTTTATATGAAAATTCCCCAAAAATCTTTTCAGATTCATAAAAGATGAATCAAAAAAAGAAGCGCTCATGGAAATTTTTATGACTATGTATCCTGCCAATGAGAGTGCAGTAAAAGAAGCTTTATGCAATCCTAGCAAATTTGTTATGAAACCCCAACGGGAGGGCGGAGGTCCATTTTTTTGGCCTTTGAAAATTCTTTTACTTCTCAACGAGTTATATTTTAGCGATAACTGTTGGTCAATGTGCTCTCCTAAAAAATAGTTTTATAAGCCAATTTTTTTTTGCTTTAAAACGTAAAAATTTTAATTATTATAATAAAATGCAATGAAAATTCAATAAAAGATCTACATTTTATTTATTATTATCGTAATACTCTGTTTTATAAATGTTTTCATCCGTATTATTATTTTTCTTTTTCTAATAAATGAGATTTATGTTTTTTATATCTACTTTTATTGGAAATTTTATGATTCAATTTTTTTTATGAAGGCAACAATTTTTATGATGAAAATTTGGTAAAAATTTTAAAAAACGCCACAGAAGAACAGAAAAAAGAATATATATTAATGGAAAAAATAAATTCAAAGCCTCGGGCTGGTTTGTTATTATTATTATTATTGATATTATTGTTTATCAATTTATAGGTCACGTGGTCAGAAATGGTCAGCTTTCGAGCTCTCGATTAGTATCAGAGCTTGGGATTTTTGGCTCGATTTTTGTCAATGAGTTTATCATTTATCATTTATCATTATAGTTATATTATTATTGTTAAAATAACTATTATTATTATTAGGAAAGGAGACGTTCTTTATAATAAAGCGTTTGGGCATCTTCTTCGCTCCAAATGTTACAGTGAAAATGATGGAGGAATCGCTGCCGGAGTGGCCGTGCTTGATAGTCCTTTACTTAAATAAAATTTATTATTATTATTATTATTATTATTATTATTATTATTATTATTATTATTATTATTATTATTATTATTATTATTATTATTATTATTATTATTATTATTATTATGAAAAATATTATTTTTATACGGCCCACCAATTACCAGTACATCCTATGACTTGTTCTGAGACAAATAATACTATGTTATTCAAGTGCTTTAAATTTGAATATCTGTATATAAATAAATTTTTATGGTGCGAAATTTTAAAATATTCCAAATTTATTACTAAGTTCTTTATTTTATTGCATTCAATTATTTATAGAGCTTGATTAATTGGTTTGTTTTTAATTAGAATGGTACAGATAACACCCATATTAGGTAACTAATTTAAGGATTGTCGTTAAATAAGCTAAATTTTCTGCTTAGTAAAAGTCTGAGGGGTTGTGTTTCTCTTTGTTGTTAGCAAAAAGTTCTGTTAACAAGGAAAATTTATCATTTCAGCTTATCAATTTAGTTTATTAAGAAAGCTAACAAGTGTTAAGGTTGATAGAAAAATATAAAACTCAAACCTAAAATAATTTAAATTTTGGATTTAATATTAAGTGGTTGAACGTGGAGCTCTTGTAGTTTATTTCTAGTGAAGGAATAAGTACTAAGCATGTAAATCTTTACGGCCTGTGCAACAACACAAAATTAAAGTATTTTCGCATTCTAAATAACCTTTTTTTGCCGTTTAAACTTGCTTGATGTTATTCTGTAATATATATAGTAGTAAGTAGTTTTCTAAGAATGGAACTTTCAAAACTGACGTGTATATATATAACTGCGTATCCTTGCAACTAATGAAGTATTTAGAAATTCTTATTCACTTTTATGTTGTAAAATTGTTAAGTTTTTATAATTGAAAACTTTGACTAAAACTTTATCACATGCCACCCAGAGTAGGGATAAACGTGAAAATGTCGAGTGTTATAGTTAAAGACTGACTGAGAAAGAAACGCACGTTTTGTTTTAAATTTGCGGTAAAAAGTTTGTTTTATATTCAATCTGGGTTGCGATGGAACAGAACTCGACTCATGCTTAAAAAACGGTTTAAAGTTACATTGGTCGAAATTGTACAAAAAACCGCGATTAAGTAAAGAAAAAGGCAAGAGTTTGAGTTCAGATGGTACAGAGAACAAAGTTTGTTGTTAACAACGTTGGAAAAATCATTTAACTCACCCGTAAGTGGTACTAAAAAGGTGATAAAGAACTGGGCGAATTATACACTCTAGATTTACCAAAGTCAAGAAAAAAAAAAGGGTCCTGCAAACTCAAATGTAGACAATAGATAATGGATGTCGCTAAAGAAGCAATTTCGACGTAACTTTAGAGAAAAAGTTAATGTGAGTTTGTTCACTTTACTAAGATATGAAGGGCTATATTAGCGAAAAAGTCCGAAGGCCTACCGAAGCAGAGATAATCCTGTTTAATGAAGGGCAGGAAAATATTTAAAATCTAGCCATACTAAAGCTGATTCTAGTGATTTCGCCTTAAACAAGGCTAGGAACATTAAAGAACGACTAAAAAAGCTACAACACGAGCTAAACCTGTTAATGTTTGCTATAAAATTTAAAAAATTGCACCCTTTTGGATTTTGAGACATACATAAATGGATACTCGTACTTTATCGGAACACTTTAATTTAACAATATTGAAAAACGAATATTAAAAATTTGGATAAATTTTCTGTATATAAAAATTTGACGATAAAATTCTGGTTTGGTAAGAGAATTCTTCTTGAGGTATGAACTCTTTTGCACTTTTTTACTAAAGGACAAGAAAGGAACGTCTGTGAAAACGAGTATTATTTGACTACAGCGCATGACGTTACAGGCTCTCAAAACTTTCTAAGACGAGTTGCGCTTCTTTAGAGATTAAAATGCAATTTCCAAGTTGCCCAGATTGGCGACCGATAAATTAATATCGGAAAAATATCAAAAGCATGCAAGGAAGACTGGTAAACCGTGCTATAAAAATTTGTCAGCGACTGCTTTTTTGTTGGTGGAATCAGCCTAGGAAAGCATTGCGAGATCTATTGAAGGGAGTTCAGGAAATTTAGAAATGGCTTAAAATAAATTAATTTAAATCTCTAAAACTTTAAAAATTATTAAGCCGTTATTCTTACCAGGTGTGCATTACAATTTCTAATAAATGTTAATCTTTATAATATTAGTTACTTTGACTCTTTTTCCTTCGCAGTTCCATGTCATACTTATTATCAAAAACTCTAGTCTATTTATATAAAGGTGGACCGAGCATAGTTAAAAGCTCCCTGTATAAACACGCATCTTTTTTACTCGACTAAAGAGATAAGTTTTTAAGCAAGTCGATTACCAGAGAAGTGGATAAGGCAAGTGCGAGTGGTATCTTTAATAAAACGATATGCTATCTTCGCTCGCAACAGCAAAAGACATGGGAAATTCTAGGGGCTTCCAGTAGGTAGAAATAAAAAAGGTTGATAGCAGGTTGCCATCCGTCGAGAAGTATTAAGTTCCTTCTAAGTTCCAAAATCCAGTGGTTATGTCATCCTCTACGAAGAAGCAGTTTACTTTTGGATTATCGGCTTATGCAGCTTGACCTACCAAGGAAATGACGAGCCAACTGTGACCGCCGTTACTATGGATCATCCGAGCTAAGTATAAGCCTGTACTACAAAAAGTTACAAGTGGGGGAAGCACGGTTCGTAAAGAATTACTTTTAAAATTAGCTAAATTACGTTTTAGCTAAAGCCTATGGGCAGATACTCTCTTTTCTGTATTATGATGCCCTGTCAGCGTTAGACGCGCATATATAAGGCTGACCTTCGGCCGCTTAGGTAAAGTTGAACCATTTCCATAAGTTACCAAATTTAATCTAAGCTTTATTTTAAATCCAAGTATTATAATATGTACTTCCTTCGGGGCCTTTTTGGAACTTCTTTCACAGTACTTGACGCTGTCGGTGATCACTCTTAATTTAGCCAAGCCTATATAAAAGAGACTTGCTAAATTTCGTTAGAATTTCCGCTACTAGCAAGTAAGTGCGTCTGAATGCTTCCGTGTGAAAAGTCTAACTTAATTGGTGAGCATATGCTCCCAAAAGTTACAAGTTGCTTACGCGAGGTTCGAAAGAATTACTTCTACAGGAGGTCTAACTAAGCACGGGCCGATACTTGTTCTTACTACGCCCTGCCTCCCCTCTGCTTTGAAACTAGCTAAAAATTACCTCATCCTAACAACTGATTCTTTCTTTGTGTCAACTCAAGTTGTTTAATTTAGCTAGTACACTATATCACTTAACAAGTGCATCGTTAGTATGACTTAAGAAAATCATGCTAGTGTCAAAGTGTGTGTGTTTTGCTATATACTGTATAATAAAGCATATTCTTTAGGATAGTGTTGTTTATCAGAATATGTGTATGTCCGGCGGCTGCAAACTGGAGCATAATATTACACTCACCATCACTAATGTTCTTTACGAATTTTGATAACAAGTTGCCATCCGGAGTTCGATATAAGTTCTAATTCCTTTGGTGATGTCAACCTTTACGAATATGAGGTGTCCTTGGTCAGTCCTTGAGCTCACTGCTTTATTTACTACAGCAATTTAAAGTGGCCAGCACCACAAAGTCCCGCGCAAATCCCCTGAAAAAGTCTTATCTTTTAATTACGAAGGCCTTTTAACCTCCCAGGTATAGCATTTGACGTCCTGACAAGATCAGGGTCCAGAATCCTACGTCAAGCGGTATACCACGCGAACATGAAGATACTCTGTGCTACGCAAGGTGCCAATCGGAGTCGAACGACAAAGGAAAAAGACTTAACGGGCGTGTTAATTCTCACACTAATATGAAAGCCCCTATGGTACAGGTAAGGTAAGTGCTTTCGCTCACTTTTGTTAATTTTTAAAATAGTTTTTTTGAACAGCGCGTACGCAAATTGTAACTTTGCCGGGGTACACGTTCACACTCAGCCCTATTGTTCCTAAAGGAAGTTGCCGTATTCCCAAAGAGAAGTTTAATTAAGATTGACAAGGAACAATCTAGGTTCTACTCACGGGAGAATGCGAGGACTAAGCAGCAGGATGGGCGCCTAAGCCTATGGCAAATTTGAAACAGATATCAAGAGATTTAAAAAGGTTAAGGTGTTACCAACTGTTGAGTTTACAGGGCCCAAAGCCCTCGAGAATAATATAAAACAATTCATTATATAATGTAATAATAAGATATACTGCACTTTAAAGTAATATAATTAAAAGCACTCTAGAAGTTAATTTGACAATTTTGGATTCCCTAGGAGCACCAAACCACCCTCAAAAAAAAAAAGAACATGAGGATAAAAAAATTGCAGCAGCGCATGCATGGGAGACATTTATATAAGCTCATGCAGCCCTCTATCCTCATACTACAAACCCAACTGAAAAATAGTTCTAATAGTGAGCAGAGAGCCTTTCATGGGAACTAACGAAGGTTATTAATTGAGCTCAATTCCCTAAATTGTGAAACTTAGCCAATAAAGGAGAGTTGTGTGCTCATAGACTCTTCTATACTTTATAACGCTAACTTTAATCTAAAAGGATACCTCGAGTAGTATCTTTAGGTGTTACCAACTGAAAACTTTTCTATTCATTGCTTGTAAAAGTTTTACTTTAGTAGAAAAAAACTAATTAACCCTCTAGAACTTCTAATTAGCTTGTTTTATGCTTGACCGTATATATAAAATTATTACATTTTAGCAATTATATAATATATAATAAATTAACTTTCCCGAGGTCAACGAGTGATTGTTACCATATAAAAGTATCCTAAAACTAGGCGTGCCTATATATACGCCATCGCCTGCGTCCCTATTCCTTACGGCTACCCGTGGGTGGAAAAGGTAGCGAGGTGCCTCTTAATAATCCTTTAAAAACCAATCGTGGCAACTGTGTAGGTCGGCTAACACTATTGATCCGTTCCTGAGCTAGGAGGGGTGAAGTTGCTGACATAATTGACTAGTCTCACCCCATCAGAGGTTTTATTCTCTCTACTTTAATAGTAAGCTTATCAACATTCTAGAGTGTTACTTAGTTTTGTTCAACAATGTCAAACTCGTATAACTAAGCCTTGAGTTTTACGGGAAATGTACTTTTTTAAATACTATTACCTGTACTTTTAATTCTCTTCTTCAACTTACTTTGACTGCAAAGGCGAAAAGAAAGGTTATCACTGACGCCTAATCAGCGTAGAGGGTGGTATGACCCGAGATAAGGTATTCTTGCATTAACTTCCATTCCATCCACGGATAAAAGTTTCATATCTAAGTTGTAGTTTCTACCCGCAGTCCTGCTGCTTAGGAGGGACAAGTACTTTGGCGAGCCATCAAACCACTGGATTTACAGAGTCACTAAGTGAAGATAGATTAAACTTACATCAGTACGGACCTAAGTCGGTCACTAAAGCATCTAGAACCGATGCAAACAGTGAATTTGCTTTCAATTAAGTTATTCAAACTAGTATTTTTTAAGTGATTAAGAAGAACTATTTCCGAGTTTTTAAAAGAGTCGCACAGCTTAAGGTAGGGATTAAATTTCGAACATATTATATATACTAAGCCAAATTTAAATGAAGCACTAAACCGATAATTGCTTAAGGCAGTCCTGTTTTAAGGCCCAGCGAAGTTATAGAAGAACAATACAAGAGTTTGGACGTGGTGAAATTAAATGGGAAACCAAAGTGCCCCGATGAAGAGCCAATGGAATATATAGAATTAACAAAACCATAATGCTAGATTTGAAAACGACGCTATTGTAAATTAAAATGTCTCATTTTTTTTCAGATCGTATATAACTATAGCTCCCATCAAAAGACAGTGAAGATAATGAGATCAAGTTTAGATTATTAATGTTTTTTTATAATAACTATGGCGGATGCTCGGTTAGTCGAGCACAGACCGCTTAGTCTTAATTCAGGCCCTAATGGGCGTCCCTAAATCTTCTGAGAGCCGCGGTAGGTGGTAATTTCCATGGGCTTCCACCGCAGTACTAACTAAGTCTCTTAGAAACTTGACCTCTTAAATAGAATAAGTAACTGCTCCTCGCAGGTGCGCTCCTCCGAAATGGTAATTGCATTGCTAGCCAGATATATAAACAGGAGCACCAAATCAGTTTCCAAGATCGCTGTGGTCTAGCTGGAGGTCAAGAAGTGTGTGCACGTGTCAAACACGTGATTGACCTCTAGAAAGGTTTTCATCTCTTTTATACATTCTTTTAGATGCTTTATTTGTTAATTTAGTAGTATTACCTATAACTACTTTGAGCTTAATAGGAAAGTAGTAAATTTTAGAGTATCGCAGCTTTATACAGCGCTATATAGGCTTGGATGCTTTAACTTCACTCTGTTTTAGTTGGGGTTATCCAAAGTATTTTTATAACGTTTTATAATTTGTACGCACTGGTCGAAACTGTCGAAAATAACCGCAGCTCCAAAGAGGGCGCCCCACAGTTGAGTGCGGTTAATCAGTACACGTTCGACACTCCCCCTTAACCTTAGAACGCGTAAGTTGTTCAGGATCCTTTAGATCCTAAACTAGGGTAGCTAAGAGGTTCAAGGGTCGGGCCCTTTCAGCATCGCCTTGGTCGTAAACTTCAATAATGCATTATGCCTTTCAGCAAGGGATTGTGCGTGGGTGTATCTATTGCCGTGTAGGTGGATCATTGCACCTTATCTTGCACATACTGATGCGAATTCCCCGCCATTATCACTTGGATCCTTCTTACGTCGTATCGGTTTCTAGGGTTTATCTAAAAATTCTCAGATTTTTGGCTTATGCCTCAGCTTTAAATCTTAAAAACAGAACCCAAACGAACTCGAGTGCGTTTACACACGATGGTTGGAACCCATTTTGATTCATTAAGCGAAGTAGGGTATGGACTATATAAGTCGACTTTAATTCTTCGCATATATTCAAATGTAGATAATCCAGTTTATTTTCCCTTCCGACTTTAATCTTCTAAAAATTAGTTTTTAAACAAGAAATGCACACAAGTCCCTCATGAATTTTGTTGCTCTTCGAGTTTGCGCTTTTTAAAAATTGGAAAAGTTTCTTGAACTCAAATGGCCTAAATTCTGTGGCAACGTATATTCCGCCGTTGTCTCTTCTAGCAATTATTTCAGTTTGTAAGTTTGGTATCAATTTAAGTAATTCATTGGTGTTGGTTAGTAATATTGTTTTTATCTTTGTGAAATATAATAACTTTTACAGAATCGCAAAATTTCCCAACACTAATAAGGTTGTTAGAGCATTCGGTAATAATAAAAGCTTTTCCTTCCTTAAGGGTGCCTTCTCCGTGAGATATTACGTTATATTTAAAGGTTTTAACCACTTCTCTAGAAGGTTGAAGTTTTGCACCCTCCTTTTGTCTTGAATATATGGCAACTAGCACTGGAATTCAAAAATACATTGCGTACAGGTAATGTTGGATAACTGTTGTTCGAAGTATAGGGCACTAAGAAAAAGTACTCGGTTGCATTCGCGTATTATTTTAAAAAGGTTTTATGAACCGCTTTTAGGCAAGTCACTCCAGAATCGGTCAAATTTTAAGGACTAAAAAAAACAATAACCGCTAGTGTGAGTTTCTAGGCGATCAATTAAACAGTTAAATTTATCCAAAATTCTGAGACACTTCTTCTGGTTCCAATTTTACATCCAAAAACTCCTTTTCAAGGGCCAGTTTTGTGACAGTCAATTTAATGTTTAGAGCAGACTCAACTGCATCCCACAATAACTTCACTTCGGCAACAGTCTCCTCTATTTTGATTCTATTTCACTTTTTCTCCCGTTACTTGTCTTACATTGAAAACAAACTTTTGTCAATACTACTTATAATTGTATTCCACGCCAACACCTTTTTCTTTTGTCTGCAAAATTAGGGACATAAAGAGCTTCCGTCGCTTCCTTTCTGCCGAATTTTCCAATCTCTATAGCTTTCGTAGTTTTCAGTTTATTAATTGTAGTAAACCCCATTTTATAGCAACACTACTCATAACTTTAAACTATTATTACAGCTTATTAAACTATTACTTCTCAAAACGGTAGAGCTAGGGACATTTAACCTGTTAACATAAAAACTTTATCTGTTACAAATATTCCCTATTAACTAGATGCTTACTAACTAGTAGATTACTTAATCAATTACTAGGAAGATCAACCTATTAATGATCAATATATATTTACGTACTAACCCTATAAATTAGAATTTAAACAATTATCAACAGCTATTACACGGACCTATCTAGATCTAGGGACTGGGGCCCAAAGCCAAGCAATGATAACAGACTAAGTGACACAAAGCGTCAAGCAAAAGCTCTTCGTCTTTATATATATTCTTTATTATTTTTAATAAAATGCGCAGATGCTTGGTAATATCGAGCGCAGAGTGCTTAATCTTGCAATAAATATATAATATTAGGTTAGAACGTAGTCAGTTTCAGCAGGTCATCTCACAATAACCTTTCTCCATGTGTTAAATGCATTACAAAACTGTAACTGTGCGCTTAAAGCTCATTGCGGAGCCTCAGAGCGTGAGCTTTCCACGGTTCGTATGTAAGTTCTTGAACTCACTGATAATTAACACGTTCAAAAGTAACTGAAGTTGCATTCGGGAAAAAGACTTCAAGTCGTTCCAAACCCAGGTCGTCGTGTAACGTATCGTTTCGCAAGAAATAAGATGTGCCTGTCATTAGTCGCAGGGGCTTGTTTTGCTGTGTCTGGAAGGGTGCAATCATCGATGGTTTGTCATATGTTTGAGCAACTGATGCGTAGGCTATAATAGGATCATGGATACCTTATAAAAGATGCTGTTAATTGCGCAGGGACGTTGTACTTTTAGCACACAGCGGCGGGTAGTTCTTGAATTGCTGCTTTGACCTTAGTCGTAACGAACTCTACGTGTTGACTCCAAGTTAGTCGATTATCGATGAGGACGCCCAAGTATTTTTTAATCTGAGAGCCCCTGGGATTTTAACACCTTCGAAGACTAGAGGCGGGGGTAGGTGGTGCTATCTTCTTGAGATGAGGATTACATTGCTCTTCGCTCCAGTAATGTTTACTCCCCGCCACCGACACCAGTTGGCAGATGTTTCCAAGTAACGCTTCAGGTGTTGTCGTAACAATGAGGGGCTCATTGAGAGCGTGTCAACTGCAGTCTCCTCAACATAGCGCAACGTGGGTGTGAAGGTTCGCAGGGAGTGGAATACCTCGCCTGTATAGCGCGGGGAGCAGGGCGAGAGCAAAGAGCCTTGCGGTACACCAGCTGTCAGTTGATGGTATGGCGCCAGAACAGCTCCGACTCTCACTCGAAAGGTGCGTCCCCGTAGAAACGTTGCAAGTATGCTGTAGAGGGCTAATGGAATACCTAATGAGCGCAGTATGTGTAGGAGACTCTCGTGCCATACGCGGTCAAAGGCCTTTGCAACATTAAGAAGTACGACTCCCGTGGATTTCTTAAAACTGAAATTCCGAGTTGTCCACTCAACAATACCCAAATGTTGTTATGTCGTCAAGTGACCTCTACGGAATTTAAATTGGAATTCTGGAAGCGCTTTGTGTGTTTCTACAAACTCTTCCAGATTGTGTAGTAGAACCACCTCTACGGTTTTGTCCACCGCTGAACTAAGACGTTGTGAAATAACCAAGCGACATTGCAGAAGTTGCATGCCAGGAGAGATGGTCAACGCCACCGGCGGCAGCTTTTTTTAGCTTTACGTTAGTAAGACAGGTCGGGGCAGGGTGCTTTCCGCCGTGAAAGTGCAGAAACTATATCAATGACACCAGGTGAGCGCGGTTTAGTAAACCCGTTTACAATAATCGGGGGATCCTGAGGCGCCTTGCCTTCGTCCTTAAAGGTGTCCAAATTGGAGATACGCAATGAGCGGTTAGATGATTGGCAAAGAGCGTCGCCTTTTCTTCACCGCTTTCCTCCTTTATTACGCCATTATTGTGGCGGAGGTACAGTGGGGGCAACGGTTATTAATACTTTATTTATACTTTTAACGAAGTGCCAAAAAGGTGGTCGTCCTGCCTTTGGCGCCACAGGCACTTCCCTCAGTTTCTCCTCCCGTTCGTCTTTATTTAATATAGCTATATATATATATGGTGCGGTTTAAATCTTCCCGGAAACTATTTGTACCCTTTTAACGTGATAGTTGCTACATAATTTCCACGTGCGCTAAAGACGCTAAAATTTAGTGGTTATTGTCGCTGGTAGTTAAGTAAAGTGGCGTCAGTTCATAACCGCGTATCGATGAGTGATCACTTCATTAACGGACACTCGTAAAAGGTCTCACAGTTATATCGATATCACTCCTTCCTAGTTACTCGGTAAAGCGGGTAGATAGGTAGGGCTCATCCCTAGTACATACTAGGAAAAGAACTAGTTATATTAGCATCAACCCTTAGAACTCGATCACCGCCCTAAAAAGAGACACTAATATAATAGAAAGATCTCCGGCACTTGCGCTACTATCTCTTAATCCGAACAAGGTAGAACTAGGAGAGTTAAAGTAGAATTATAAACCAATACTAATGCTAGATCTATCTATGAATGCAACCTTCTAGAATCAAAAAGGGTTACGGGGATTATTGATAGGCATCACTAACACTTAAGTATGAAGGGGAGCTCTTTAACCCATCATTTCCGAGTAGTGTTCAAGTTGGAGCACTCATGCGAAGGAATAAGAAAGGTTAGAGATTTACCCTACTTAAGGCCCCTAGTGCATATGAAC